TAAACTCGCTAAGCGGCGTTGAAGAGCACGGGGGCGGTTGTAAACGTTGTTAAACATTACTAAACACTCCGAAATGCAACCCGGCGAACCCCAGCCGAAGGCAGCTGTTTTTAATGGCTAAACTACGATGGTAATTCTGCGCGTCGTCGTCACGCCGTCACCTCGCCGCCATCTTGACCGCTACGTGACGTCATTTTCATCACGTTTATCTTTTATGCGTTAATCATTCAAAACATAGGAAATATTTAATATTTTCCATGGGTTTCCATTTAGAAAAGTATTAAAATAGATATATTTTAGGAATTTTATTAAATTTTCTTATAATTTATTAGTTTTAAATTAATTTTAAAGAAAATTTTGAATTTTTTGAAAAAATAGTTTCGACTTTTATTTTTAACAGTTTTGAGTTTTTTACGAGTAATTTCTTGGGTTTTTTACATAAATTTGATTTATTTTAAGAATTTTTCTGGATTTTCTATCATTTTTTATTTTAAAGCCAATTTTAATGAAGAATTTAGCAAAAAACAAATTTAAATAACTTTGACTTTTAATTTTATACATTTTCAAGTTTTTTACAAGAAATTTCTGAATTGTAAAAATATGTGCGCAATGATGTGATGATAAACTATCCGTTATTTCCTCGCGCCTTTTTCATGAAGTTGCGCGCGGCATTCGGCGCCGTTTTATGAAGTTGATATCAAGCGGGCGGATTGTGTGATTGAGTGGAGGAATAAATGCGAAACGTCTGTTTTTGAAACATTTATGCCGTCGGCGGCGTAGGTGCGACGGTTATTAATGAATCGACGATTCCGACGGCGCGCTGCGAAGCGAAGCAGTGAGCGGGCGAACTTTCGGAGGAGTTGTGCTCAAATTAATAAACGACGCCCGGCGATATTAGCTGTTATGAGCAACAGACAGCGTCGATTCGTCATTATTTTCCACTACATTTAGCGCATACTTCAAGGGAATAGAGAATAGACCTAGAGATGTGAAAATACTCACTTGGAAATCTACCAGAGACATAAAAATTTCAAAAATTACGAAATCAAAGTTTAAATTATAATTTTAACTTATAAAAGTTAATTATTTTATCTAAAAATTTATTCTTTTTATTTTCGGGTAATAAATTTAGTTTTTTTTAAGTTTTGTGTGTTTTTCTATGTTTGCAAAAGAAGAGACAAATGATGACGAGAAAGTTTTGGCATCCAAACTGCGAAAAGTATAAATGTAGGTGGATGGTGCGGATGGAAATATGTGACGAAGAGCGATTCGACGCGCGCGATTATTACGAGTCATTACCTCCACTTTTCGACAATACTTTTCGCTGCTCCCGCGACGGATAAACTCATTTATCTGCACACACATCGTCACCATCTGGCATCGTTGTCTTAGAATTCTCCACGCCTTTCTTTTATCTTCTTTTTTTGTGTCTACACCCTTAAAAATTTAAAATGTAAAGTGTTTGTGGTGATATGAGGAAATCTGTGTGACAATCATGCAATCATGCAAATTCAACACATTTTTCAACATAGGGGTTGTAAATTTTAGTCAAAATTGATTTCTAAGCGTTGATAAGGATTTAAATCTTTTTTCGGGGATTGCCAACATTTAACATGACAAATGCCACGTATCAATCATTAGGGGTTGAAGATTGAAGTATTTTTCACGCTAAGAATAGCTAAATGAGCAGCGAGGTTTTAACAATTCCGAGAATTGAGGTGCGAAGGTCGCAGGCGTGAATTGCGAGGGTGTGTTTGCGTAATGTATGCAAATATCTTCACTTCGCGACGCTACGTGATGACACACGCATAAGGAAAAAGGGGCGAGGGATTTTTCGGGTGGCACGCTGGAGACCGATTTTTTTTCGGCGGCAATTCGGCGCGAAACGACTGACGAATTAACTGATAATCCAATTTGCCTTCGGGGCACAAGCGCACGCTTTTTTCCTGCAGGCTTTTATTGTTTTTATTGCCTGGCGCTGTGTTTCTTTTTGTGGAGACAAGACACAACGCGAACGCACCGCGCGCAACGTCTCTTAATTATGTACGCAAGGAGAGCTTTTGTTTTATTATTTAAGGGCGAGTTTTGGAATTTGCATGTTTATTGTTAGTGTTATTGTCGAGTGTTTTAATTAACGTTAACACTTTTTTCTTCTATTGTATCAGGTACGTTAAGATAATCATCTTAGAGTCTTCTTGAACGTCAAATTGTAAGTTATTTTTTTTTATTTTTGGAGAATGGAAATAATTGAAAAACTGAGGAAAGTTTTAAACATTTGATCATTTTTACAACTTTGTGATGAAATTTTGCATTTTTTGCAAAATTGAGGATAAGTCACATTAATTCCCACTAAAATGTGGTTTTGTGAAGATATTAAGTTGTTTTTAAATAATTTTCAAGATAATGGCGAGTTTTATTAAAAAATAGCTTTGGTAAAATTTGAAGATTTTGTAATTTTGCATTTTTTTCGAAAAGCTACCAATTTTTATTTATAAAGTTTTAAAATTTAGGCAACTTCTATAGCATCGAAATTAGCTGTACCACCAGTTACCTATATTCGGTAATATTAATAAATAAACTTATTTGGCAAGCTCATAAAATAAAATTTACGTGAGTATATAAATTTTATTTATAAATATAATTGCCAAATTTGGTGATTAATTATACCCGATGGCGTTTCGCCAGCAATCGTACAGCCCCGAAAAATAACATATTTGTGGATGATTATTATTAGAGGAAAATAGTTTCGTGTCGAAAAAGTTAGCCGATAGCATCATACGTAATGACGATGATTAAGAATATTAAGATCGTAATCGCAAAATGAGTTCGGAGGCCTGATTTGCCGCATTAGTGCTTTTACACGCTCGGCGCATTAACTAAATGCAAATCGGAATTATAGTTATTGCCATTATTACTGCGCCGCGCGCGCATTTGCAGCGCGTCCTAAAAATAACGAAATAATGTCCCAATGCGCCCGCGCGCCCAACGCGACGAGTAATTAATAATTTGAGCGTCGCGTGCTGGCGCGCTGCGCTTTGAAATGGAAATTAAATGTTTTCTCTTTCATTAAGTTCCGCCCCATTATGCGCGTATTGCTTGCGCGCTTAAAAACGCTCTATTAACTTTTAATTCAATTCATCATTTTCAGCGTTTTGTATACGAAATAAATATGTTAATAACACACAAATCTGTCATCACGTGATGAAATTGCCAAAGTTTACACTCTTAATGTGTAATAAATTTTATTTTCTACTTACACTCTATTTTTACGTTTCATGCGGTCTTGTGTTGCACCGTAAGTAAATGCGCTGACGAAAACTTAGCCCCGTGACTAAAACCCGTTATTAAAGCACTTTAGTCACGGTCTTGGTTATCCGTATTTAAAATACCACTTTTTGTGACTTAAAACCGTGTAAATTGCTAAAATTTACACTTTTAATGTGTTATAAATTTTATTTTCTACTTCCACTCTATTTTCACGTTTCATCTGGTCTTGTGTTACACCGTAGATAAATGCGCAAACGCAAGCTCCACCCCGTGACTAAAACCCGTGTCTAAAGTACTTTAGTCACGGTCTTGGCCATCCGTATTTAAAATACCACTTTTTGTGACTTAAAACCGTGTAAATTGCTAAAGTTTATACTTTTAATGTGTTATAAATTTTATTTTCTACTTCCACTCTATTTTCACGTTTCATGTGGTCTTGTGTTGCACCGTAGATAAATACGCAGACGCAAGCTCCACCCCGTGACTAAAACCCGTGATTAAAGTACTTTAGTCACGGCATTGGGCAACGGTATTTAAAATTCCACTTTTTATGACTTAAAACCGTGGAAATTGCCAAAGTTTACACTTTTAATGTGTAATAAACTTTATTATTTACTGTAAAATATTTATTCACATGAAAAATATAACTAATCGAACAAAACAAAAGGCGGTTGCAGTGCAAGTGGTCGAAATTGCTTTCCGCTGAGCAAATATGCATTTATGGCGAACGACTTGATCAAATAAATTGTTGGCTGTTTGGACCGGGGGCCCGAAAGCCGCAGAAATCAATCGAAATCGCAAAAGGGCGCAAGCAAACAAGATATTAGCATTGAATGCACCCCGCCGCGCACACACAACGCCTGCGAAATATTACAAACCGGAAAACGAGAAATATGTCGACCGACAGCGACGACAGCGCAAACATAAACACACTTTGCATATTTAACAGGACAATTCCCGGGGTCAGTACACATGCGTGTGTATGTGTGTGTGTGTGTCAATATTTGCGTGAAACAATCGCAGTGCAATCGCGGTAACCAAATTACTTTTGACTTTCCAACCCTCCGAAAACTATTCACTTGTTTGAAATCTTATAAATATTACAGAAAAAAATACAAGTAGAGAAAAAATTCAAGTCTGGCGGAGCAACGAAAGTTTAAAACTTTATTTTATCGCTTCCGTTTTAATTACGCGACAACCCCGACCGGGGGTGTGGGTGAGGCAAACTTGCAAGTTTATCGTTACGACTCTGTCAAGTTCATTACTTTCATTTCGTTCATTCATAAATTTGTTGCAGACTTTAAACAATTTTTTTATTTTTATTTTATTTTTCTGCAGCGCGCTTTAAATAAATCGACTAATTAAATTTATTATTCTTGTTTTTTTGTTCGCTGGTAAATAAATTATGTTCTTTGCGAAGTTGAGTTCTTTGTGAATTCGATTCGGATTGATCGAATTAATTCCGCTTTGTTTCTCGGCGCGTTCTTTTCGATCGACAAATGCAATTTCGCCGTGGAGTTTCTTGCATTTGTTTTTTCTACAGATGTCTAATTTGCTTTTCATGAATGCTAAAAATGCAAATGTATTCAATCATTTCGTTCTCTTCATTTACATTTTACTATGTCAGTGTAGTGTGCATTGAAAAACCGGAAAACCGGAAAAACAATTAAAATATAACCATAGATATAATACAATAAGTTTTATAAAACCGGAAGTATAAATACAAACCGGAAAACCGGAAAAATAATTTTATTACTGCGAATACACTTCACTTGCGTCTCTTATAACATCATCGTACATATGCGCTTCTAAATCATATCCCATATGCATACATGCATTGACAAATCCTTCGTCGATCATAATCGGTCCATAATATTTAACAACATTAAGTTTAAAGTTGAGAAAATGTTCGCATTCGTAGTGTAAATTCCCGATATCCGCGTCGACCTCATCTACAAAGTAAACAAATTAAATTAAACCAAACAAACAGAAAAAAAAACCCAGCGAAAATAAAACATTTGTTACTTTGTAATTTAAAATTATGCGACGTATTTAAAACTCGTCGCAAACAAATTATTGACAGTGAAAACAGTTTAGAAAGCATTTAAAAACAAACTCACGCTGCAACTGAAGCGCGATCGCCAATAAAACGACAATCAAACTTTTTCCGGCTGACATTTTCTCCGGTTGGGTGTGAGGGGTGGTGGAGGGTGGTGGTAGGTGCCACTTTGCGTGCGTAATTGCTTCGATGGGCTTCGATGTGCTTCGACTCTTCGACTCTAATTGGCATTCGCGCGGGTTGACTATGTGCCAACTGCGAGCGCGAAACTTTTCTCAGGGCCGCGCACACGACTCGCCGCGATTGTGTTGTGTTTGCTCTCCGCCGCGACGGAGCGCAGCAACAACTGATAAAACAATAAGTTTGCAATTTTATGCACGACGGCCAATAAATACAGAGTGCATGCACGTAGACACATGCAAATATGTGCTAATGTGGTATTGAAATAAGAAATAAACAACTGATATGCATTTGTAAATATTATTTGTTTGGAAAATATTTATTTTTGTTTCTTTTATTGTTAATGGGATTGTTAATAATTTGTGAGGACACTCGGTGTATTTATTGGAATATTTATTGATTTGCAAAGCACGAATTTCGGATAAAAACGTGATTCAAATGCATAGTTTGCTTAACATTTTATTGCTACCAGGAAAATTATATTTCATTTTAAAATTTTAACGATAATAATAATCAGTAGGTAAATTTTTCACCGCTAGATGGCGCGGTATGTACTATATAACTAAAGTTTGTGTGTTTTTTATTTATTATGTGCGGAATTTGTCCACAAACCTCTAAATTTTAATGAAACGAAGTCAGAAATGCTAATAACACACTTTAAGGTCGTTTCTGATTGAAATATGTAACTAAAACTACGATTTAATGTCATTATCAACTTTCAACCCTTATTTTACACCCTAAAACTCTAAAAAGTAGCCTATTTGCTTTTCTATGGTTAAAAATATCTTTATACCAAAATTTATAAAAATTAATTCCGTGGTTTTCCCGTGAAAGTGTTACAAACAAACAAAAACCTAATATTTGCCTTCATAATGTTAATTAAACCTAATTTTCCGCTTTTTTCATATTTTATTATTGCAGCGATGCGTGTTTTTCACGCACGAACAATTAAATTTAAATATAAGCAGATGTTTTTCACATATTTTTTACGCTGCTGCTGTCTGTTCAGCATTGTTTTTGTGCTGCGCGTGGCCTGACAAGTTGTGACTGCTGTCTGTCCTCGAGACGTTTCGCCGGAGCGAAACATATTCGCAACGTTAATGTTTATCTTCCGCGCGTAAAAATAAAGCGTTTCATTCATTACTCTCCCGAGTTGCACAACAACAAAATAAAAACACGAGCTGGAAAATATAACATCCACACACTTACACTTACACGTACATAACATTGCTTACTTGTGCCCCGCGACGAGGAAAACGTATTAACGCCGGAAAAGACGGAAAAAACAAAGTTTTGCGAAATTTCAATGGCCGCCAGCAGCAACCAGCAACCAGCTCGCAGATGAAACGAGATGAGGATGAGGATTACTTTTATCCTGCTTCCACACAGTGGTGTTTTATTGAGGTGGTCTTTGTTGGTGCTGTGTTGGCGGGCAAGGCAGAGTTGGGAAAAAGTTTGAAACTTTTGCATCGCGTGCACACGAGCAAGCGGGATAGCGGAGAGTGCTCGAAATTTCCACCCTCGCGTGGCTGAAAAATTCCAACTCAGGAGAGTAGGTTAAATATTTCCAATTTTTCGGTTGTGCCGCGGCAGGAAAAAATTTGTTGAGTGAAGAATTTTTGAGCATACGTAAAGGTGGTGAGATGTTGTTGTGAGGATGTTGGAGGTGGCGGCGGGGTAGGCGAACGGACGTTATAGGTGTTCGGCCGAGCGCGCCGGCAGCAAATAGGTGGCGGGTGGACGCCCAGCGCGAAAACGACGCCGCGTTGCGGAGGCGGTGCCGGCGCGCGATGCGCACGAATCCGCCGCCGTCGGGGGGCGGGCTTCGCTGCAAACCGCGCTCCACGTCGACGCGCAGGCGACGGCGTCGACGACGGCGTCGCACACCCAGAAACAGAAAAAAATAAAACACGGCGAAAAAGCGGAGTGACCCGCAGCAACTAGCGAGTTGCCATTTTGCGCTGTTGCCATGGCTGCAGGTGCGGGTTTTATTTATTTTTGCGTGGAAGTGGCAACGAATCCATTAGCGACGCCAACAGACGCCGCGACGTTGCATGGCGATATATTACGATACGTCGTTAGCGCGCGTTAATGTCTGTTTGCGTTATTCATTTTGTTTTCATGTCGATGGCTCCGAGAGCCACAGTTTATTTATTGCTCTGCCACCGGATGAAGCGTTGTGTAATCTTTTTATGTTACTTTAATAGGTTTATAACCAAACTAGTAATATAGGCAACCAAAATGACAAAAAATGTAAAAAATGTTTTTTTGTGATTTTTTGTGGCTTGAACTTGAAAAACACTTTAAAAACTTAACTTTTAATTATATGATTTATGTTTGGGTGTTTTGTTACAAGTGCATGTCTCATGTCGCATGTAATACGTGCTTGTCCGCGATGCGTTTCGGTTTGGAAATTGTCATCTCGCACGACGTCGGAATGCACGAATTCGGGGCGAACTTCTTGATGTGTGATATTATTACTTGGCGCAAACTTTAAATAGTTTTATCTCTTCGCCCTGCTCTCACACGCCACGCCACAGCGCGCAATTGTTTCGCGTGTCGCTTGTCCTTTTGTCCCTCTTCTCACAAAACAACGAAACAACCAAAAACACACACAATTAAATTGATAAAATACAAATTAATCAAATTTTAAATATTTTATTTGTTGAAATTAGTTTCTCTGACGGTTTTTCCGGTTTCATTTCCGTGCTGCGCATCGTTTTGTTGCGATTTTGTTGTTTTGATTGGCCGTGCCTTTGTCGCGATGCGCGCTGTTCAGTGTCCGATGGAGAGAAGTTTGTCGGGCGTTCCGATTGATAGATTCCGCATCCGGCGACGTGCACGACGCCGAAGAAGCGTCGCCCGTGATGCGGCCGTGTGGTTATCGATGCGGAAACGGCGCAGATTGACGAACGCTGTACGCCGCTTCGCGCGTCGTTTGTCAAGCGAAACGGCGCGGACAAAACGTCGCCGACGTCCGAGACGATACACAAGCATGCAGGCACAATCGCCGGGCGGAATTGCATTCAGCTGACAAACAATGCTAATAACAAAGAAAACTGATGGCAAAGAGCAGTTTAAAGAAATACCGGTTTTTATTAAAGAAATTTTATTAAATTGGTTGTTTTAGAAGAAAAAACTAAAAATAGAAAAAGTTTCATTTTGAGGAAATACCGGTTTTTAAGAAAAATACCGGTTTTTATTTTGGAAAACCGGTATTTTTTAATTCAAATTTTAAAAGTTTAATTAATTTAGGAAAATTGCTAAATCCAAGTCGGAAATTCTTTATTAAAATTTTTTGTTTCAAAATTTTTATCAAAAACCGGTTTTTTATGTTTTAAAAACTTTGCTTTTGCATAAAACTTTACTTAAGTTAATTTTAGAACCCCGTATGACGTTTCAAGGTATAAAATATTGCGCCTGGCATGATTCAGCAAACTTCCGGACATTTCCGGATGAATTGGAAGGTTTTCGAGTTGTGTGCAAGATGGTTTTGCGAATGTTTCGCGCTGCCGTTTTTGGTAATTAGCCGCCCCGAAGGCAAACACAACTATTTCGGGGGCGCACAGGAAGAGAGCGCGCCCGTGCTGGCGGCGCGCCGTCTCGTGGATTCCTTAAATAAGTAACAAATTAAAAGCAAATTTTAACTAACCAACTAACGACGACTCGCTCGCGCACAGTCCTAACCGTTTTCCGCTTCCGCAAACGTTTCTTACTCTTGGCGTGCTCGTTTGCGCGCCCGCTTCTTGCCGGCTTTTTCCCGTGGACTAAGACGAAGTGCACTTAATTAGGAGTTTGGAAACTGGCAGGACCCGTCGCAAAAAACTTTCGCCTGCGAAACGAAACGAAACGAAAATATTTACGCAAAATTCGTTTGATCGTTTGCGGTATTTGCTTCAAATTACGAGCACAACCCAGACAGGATAATGTACATTAGTCCTACATTCTCACAGACTAAAACCCATCCCGAGTGGTGTGATTCGTGATTAATCGATGCAAAGTTAAACGATAAAATTTTATGTATCTGCTCGTGTTTAATGCAGACTGCATTCGATTTTGTAGTCGTATGTGTGTGTGTAAATGTGTCCTTTGTCTCCGCGTGTCCTTTATCCCTTTTCTATCGATGGCCGGCGATCAGCGCGGGACGCATTCGAGCTTGAACTGCCACGCTGGGGGTTAAAAGCTTCGGCCCCGGCGCGAGCGCGCATTTATGTGACAACGATAATCATCCCGATCCGGGCGGGCCCTGGCCCGGGGTTGGGAACTATTCTGATTAAGTTCAATTTGTGCCCCTTTTGTGTGCGCTTAATAGCTGGCCAAAAATGCAATCGTTTTATTTATTGCAAAATATTTGGGTTTCATTATCATTATCATTATTGTGATAATAAGGGTAGTAGTGATAAATTTTGTATATAGGGATGAAGATAGGACACGTTTTGTATTTCCATAATTTATTATTTTTGCCCAAGGGCAATGATTTAAAATTAATTCATATTTTTGTCGTTAGATGTCGCTGGTTAATTTTTTTAAAGAAATTAAAATCTTGTTGAAACACAGCAAAAAATTCGGAAGGTACATGGAAAGTTTTAAGCTGTTGCCGAAAGTATCAGGACTTCCCGGAACTATGTCAGGGTGCGTTGAGACTAGCCCAACGCTTGCAAAGTCTCAAGTCTAACAAAGTCCGCCCGGAAAGTAAAACTTTGATAAGTACAAACTTTGCAAAGTTTACCAAAAAATATATATCAACAAATTAAAAAGCGCGCAAAAATTTAGTATCACCGTTTAGTATCTGATTTATTTTTCGCTTGTTTTGTCTTGTCTCTTCTTCTTGTTGTATTGAACAAGATGATGACAATGGCGTCGTTAATCCAAACATATTGGCAGGTATAATGGCCGACGATATTGGTCGTCGATTATATTTTTATCGCTCGTTACGACACGGCGGGAATCATAGAGCCGATACTAATTGCCGCGATGACAATGGGGGGCGGCGGCGGCGGTGGCGTATTCTAAGCGCTCTCGAAGAGCCGGGCCAACCCGATTACATTGTACATCACAATGGAGAGCGTCTTTAATTAATTTCCTATTGTGCGCCCGGTGCTGCCCGTTTAATATCATAATATCAGCAGATAAATGTTCGCAGATTTGATCAAGGGGGTGTACGATGGGAATTACGATTG